TCCTTTAATGCTGGCTGCCAGGGTTGTCATTACAGATGAGAAAACCGAGGCCTCATCTAGCCACAGAAACACACTTGGAAAGACAGCTGCCCCACAGAGGTCCCAAAACTGGTTGTCAGGGAGGGGCCAGGAAATCTGCGATTTTGAAAACTCTCACTAGGGGGAACTATTGCCCAGACAGATGTCAAATACGACCAGTGGGTTCCTGACCCGTGACGTTTCAGAATTCTCAGGATGGCTCAGTAAAATGGCATGTGAAATGGAAGCCCAGATTTATTAATCCAGAAGTCCATCAAGAGATAGTGGGCACTGGTGCTGTTTGAAGATATTGTTGGTTGTCTCACTTAGGAAGTGTTCCTACTGTCCACTGGGTAGAGGTCAGGGTGCCACTTAGCATCCTATAATGCACAGGACAGCCCCAAGCCACAAGAATTTTCTGACTCAAAATGTAAATAGTGAACCGGGTTGAGAAGCCCTGCAATCTAACTCTGCTTAATAATGACTTGTGAGTTATAGCTGGGCATGGTGGCACATGGCTATAATCCCAGCTCTTGGGAGGTTGTGGCAGGAGGATCATTGCAAGTTCAAGACCAACCCAGGTTACAAAGTGAACTCAAGGCTGTCCTGAACAGTACAGCAATATCTTGTCTCAAAAAGAGCAAAAACAAAACAAAACAAATAACTTTTGGGGCTCAAGCCCCCAAATCTGGCAGTAGACATGTGACTGATGGCTCTAGTTCTTGGGTTACATACATGGCTCTCCGCAGGCCTCTTGCTCATCCAGGGGCAAAGCCCCTATTGGTGTCTGTCCTAGTTTCCCAAGCATCATTCTCTGTTTGGGGTGAGTTTGAGACAAATTGTTTTCTGATTCCCGCTCTGAGTCTGTACCCACTGAGGTTTTCCCAAAAAAAAAGGACAGGACACTGACCTAGCCAATGCTGAGAAAAGGGGTGGAGGGGTGAAGTTGAGGCAACCCCATTATTTACACAGCATCTGGTCTGCCTGCCTCATTGGCTGGTGGGTGCAGACACTTGGCCAAGCAGCATGTACCATTCTAGAATCCCTACATGGCAACGCCTTTCGATGGGCCATTGTGGTAACTCTGGGACTGGGACTGGGCAATGTTCTTAACTGTAGGGACATTTCTTATCTGTACTGAGTCCTCTGACATCTTCACAGCCAGCCAAACCTGTCCCTGAACCCTTTTGTAAGCTGAGCAGGTGATCATGTTCAATTGCTTAAGACATTTGAGAATTCTAGAAACCTCTGTCTATCAAGGCTTGGGAGGAGACTGCCCCATGGGGCAGCATCTCAGACGCTTGTGTCCAGTCCTTCTGCCTGCAAGGCCCTCAGCTGCCCCTGCAGCCTTGTCTGTCTTGAAGCGTACTCTGTCTGATGTTGGTACAACTCCCAGAGTTGTCTATTCCCGCTTGCATGGAGTATCTTTTTCTATCCTTTTACTTTCAACTTTTTTGTGCCTTTCAACCTATCGTGTGTCTCTTGTGGACAGCATATTGTTAGATCATAGGGGTTCCTTTTCTCTTTCTTTTTTATAGTGCCAGAGATCAAATCCAGGGCCTTGTATATGTGAGATAGGAGGCAAGTGCTCTGTCTCTGAGCTATACCCCTAGCCTAATCACGGTTTTGTTTGGTATGGCTGTGTATTCCTTAAACTTGCAATCCTTAGGCCTCAGTCTCTAAGGGTGGAGTTCTTTTTTTTTTTTTTTTTTTTTTTTTTGTCTTTTTTTGTTTTTTATCGGTACCAGGGATCGAACTCACAACTGCCTGCTTGCAAGGCAGGCGCTTATGCCGCTGAGCTAAATCCCCAGCCCCCTAGTTCTTAAAACAATCAATTTGCTAATTTTTGCTTTTGTGTGGTAAAAGCGCATGTTATTAAAGCATACAATTCTATGGCACTTAGTATATACAGAAGGTATGTGACCATCGCCACCAATCTAGTTTCAAGACATTTCAGCAGTCACTTCCCATCCCTATTTCCCAAAAACCACCAATATACTTTCTATCTCTAAGGATTTTCCACTTCTAAACATTTCAGATAAATAAAAACACAACCTGTGACCTTTTTTGTCTGGCTTCTTCCTTTTGGCATGGTGTCACAGGGCTCCTTCCTGTGTTGCTTCGCCTCTCTTGCCTGGCACTGAGCCTCCTCGTCCTACCCAAAGACTCTAAGCTCTGTTCTTCAGGCCTCTAAGGCTGCTAATCCACTTGCCTCTGCTCAGGTCAAACCTCTGAATAATAAGTTGGACCCAGAACGTGTCCAACTCTGTGCCAAGCACTTCCCATGCACTGTTTCAGTGTGAGTTCTAGATACAGTCCTAGAAGAAAATCATCATCATCTCATTCCCACACCCCACCCTTTCCCCAAACTGACAAGAGACGGGTCCTGCTTCTTGCTCAGATACCTATGCTGCCCTTCTGCTCAGAATGTCCAGGTTTCCATTGGCTCCCATTATCTAATATCATAACCCGTCTGTGCCTCTGTCTCCTTATCTGAAAGCTAGGGATAATAGCACCTGCCCCACTGAGTTACTGCAAGCTTAAAGGAGCACTCAGTTTCCTGGAGAGGGAATAAGGGGAAAAGACAACAAAGAAATAGGGCACTGGGTGTGGTGGTGCACTCCTCTAACTTCTCATTTAGGAAGCTGAGGCAGAAGGATCACCAAGAGTTTGAGGCCAGCCTGGGCTACATAAGCAAGTTCAAGGCCAGTCTGCATTACATGGTGAGACCCTGTCTCCAAAAAGAAAAAAAAAAAAAAAATAGGGGTATGAAGCCATGAAAGTTGGGCTGTACAGAGAAAATGCTAAGTCTGCACATTTTTTCTCATTTGCAGGAAAGAGCAACAGCTGTCTGCTTTCTCCGTCACTCTACAAGTGCTTACACCAAAGTGCCTACCTTCTCGGTGCAGAGGTCAGACCTGGTAGTCCCTGTGTTGTCCATGTCTTCAGGACACTTCCTGGTTTAGGTTTCACTCCTGAGACTTGACCAGCAGTCCTCCCTGTATTTCATAGGCATGACCCCACTATATGTGGATGAGAAGGCCCTCTCTGAGTTCGCAGAAACAGACTCAGAGTGAGAGACCCACCTTCCACCAGACTCAGTGTGAGTTGGTGACTTTTTTTTGAGACAGGTTCTCCCTGTATAATTCAGTAGTTCAGGCTGGCCTTGAACTCACTATGTAGCCCAAGCTGGCCTCAAACTTGCAGCGATCCTCCTGCCTCAGCCTCCCAACTGCAGGGATTATGGGGAGGGGCGTATGCTATCATGCTGGACTGGTGACAGTTCTTCAATTCTTACTGGCATGTGCTTTTTAACCTTCAAGAGCTCACTGGGGGCCCCAGACAATGGTGGAGGTTGGAAGCAAGGGTAGGATCCCTTGGGAAGTTAACTGATGTGGGTCACCCCTCCTTAGACATTTAGCTACCAGACTGCAGTTGGAACCAGGGGACAGGCCCCAAACCTGGCTGCTCCTCTTTCTCTTACTCCTTACTTGCTGTCGGCTTCTCCATGAGGAATCTCATCCTCCTTCTCCACTCAAGCTTACCCCCACCACCCATTTCCAGTGAGCAGAGTGATTCACTCCCTGCTGAGTATTTACTTAGCCCTGCCAGGTGTCAAGTACCTTTACTTCACTCCCCCCACACAATGACCCGCACTAACCAGGGGGACAGGGGACACAGCAATCTACAGTAAAGTGTGAAGTTCGTTGACTTGGCTCCACTCCCAGCTGTTACTGAGATTTTCAGTTTATAGATAAGAAAGCAGGAGGCAGGCAAGCTTTCACACAAATGCCCTCACCCTCTGGAGGGGATGCTCTGGTTATTTCCACCCTTGTGAATTGTCACTAGTGCTAGTATGATCATTGTGTGCAGGTTTTTAGTTGAACACCGGTTTTCAGTTCTTTGGGGTACATACCCAGAAGTAGAATTGCTGGGTCATACAGTCACTCTACATTTAATCCTTGAGGAATTGCCTGTTTTCCACAGCAGAATACCATTTTCCATTCCCTCTAACAATCAGTATGTGAGGATTCCAATTTCTCCACATTCTCACCAGTAATCATTATTTCCCCTTTCTTTCTCCTTCTTGGGACTACTATTTATTGAACACTAACTTTGCACTAACCAGGAGACAAGGGTCACTGCAGTCTATAGTAAAATGTGAAATTCCTTTACCCTACTCCACTCCCAGCTCTGCCGGTCACTGGCTGCTGGACCATCGAAAAGTTAATGAGCATTTCTAAATGTCAGTTTCTTCACTGCAAAATAGGAGTAATGTTCCCTTTTCCTGCTTACCTGGTTAGGTCTTGTGGGGTTTTGTTCACTTGTTTTGCCTGTCTCCTCCTGCTAGTCTGTGTTCACAAGGCCCACCTTGATACCCCCCTTATTGGTAGTTTCTCAGTTAATTCTTTTAATTGAAGTGACAGTCATATAACATGCAATTAACCATTTTAAAGGGAGCAACTCAGCTGGGAATGTACCTTAGGGGTAGGGTACTTGCCTAGCATGCACAAGGCCCTAGGTTTGATCCCCAGCCCTGTCCAAAAAAATAGAAGAGAAAGAAGCAGAAGCCTAAGAGGAGGTGGAAAAAGAAGAATATAGCCACATTTATCATGGCACCTGCATGTCTATAATTTAGTTCAAAAGCATATCCCAAAAGGAAACCACACACCCACTAAACACTCACTCCTCATTCCCCTTTTCCCCCAGGCCCTGGAAACCACCAATCTATTTCTGTGTCTATGATTTACCTATTCTGGGGATTTTGTATAAATGGCATCATACAATATATGGTCTTTAGTGTCTGCTTCTTTCCTCCATAAATGAGAAGGATGCAATATTGGAGTTTTGGTTCTGCCTGACTCCAAGGTCTGACTTCATTCCCTCTTCATAATGGATTATCCCATTATAAGGGAAGAGAGGACAAGATGCTTGGGAGCAGAGCAAAGGGACTGGGAAGCTCCTGCACACTGGAAGTGTACCTTTGTGGTGGCTTCTTCATTGCCCTCCACCATCTTCCTCAGCTTGATCAGATGCCACACATCCTGGATGGGTCGGACAGTCCCCTGGCTGCCCTCCAGCAGCTGGGTGGTAGAGGGCAGGTCCTGCAGGACAGCCAGCTGGTTCTCTATCTTGTCAATACGATTCACCACATGGTCAAAGACATTGCTGAGCCGCTTCATAGGACTAAGGATAGGCTGGGCATCTCCTTCCCTGGGCATGACCACCACCTGTGAGGTCTGCAGAAAGTCCTCATCCCCTGAGAGGACCTTCTTGAGATCAGCCATTTTTATGTGCTCCAGGATGCCCTGGAGCAGAAGATGCAGGGCTTTAAAGTTCACCACCCCACATTGTGGTATAGCAATGTTGACCAGTTCAGTGAATGTGAGGGAGAAGCTCATCTTACTTGGGCGGTGGGTCAGTAGGGTTGAGGTTCTTGGGAAAAACTGATGGTTTCAGTGGTCCTAAACAGCTGCACAGACAGGTCTTCAGAGGCTTGGGGAGGCTGCAAGTTCTAGCAGTCAGGGAGAAATGACCTCTGTCCTGGCTAGAGCACAGATCAGTTTCTGGTTGCTAGGATACGAGAGAACATAGTTAAATCAACATCCTTCTGAGAGCCTGGAGAAGGGCAAGTGCTACCGAGTAAGCCTCAGCCACAGTAGGTGCTTAATTAATATTTGATGAATATTTAAATAGTAAATTAGTAATCTTTTCATTCAAGTTTTCTTCTTATGTAAGACAATGGTTCTTTTAAGAAACATGTAGAAGTGACAAAGGTAGCTTACCCCTTGAAGACCCTAGGATCAGGACAGAAGACAGATTTCTTTGGAGTTAGGGAGGTCCGAGTTTTATAAAAGAGGCTGAAGAGGGGCTGGGGATTTAATGGCATAAGTGCCTGCCTTGCAAGTGTGTGGTGGTGAGTTCGATCCCTGGTACCAATAAAAAAGAAAAAGACAAAAAAAAAAAAAAAAAAAAGAGGCTGAAGAACTATGCTGGGTTTTTTTTTTTTCCTATGCTGGGTTTTGAGCAAGGCCAAACATATCTTCCCTCATGGTGCTTCTGCCCTCAATCTGGGTGGGCACCATTCAATCTGCCAGGAACCTAGAGTTAAAAAAAAAAAACAGGCAAAAGGCAAATGTGTCCATTTATGTCCAGTACAGAGAGACATTCTTCTTTTCCTGTTCTTGGACACAAAAATGCAAGACTCCCCTGCCTTTGTACACTTCAGGAGTTAACTCCTGAAATATTCTCTCTGCCAACTCACAGGTTCAGACTGTTATACCATTGGGCTACCCAGGGGCCCTGACTTCCCTGCTCTTAACAGATATGCCTCCTGAAATGGGAGAGAAACCAGCTCAAAAACCACCTCGGAAACCAGCCAGTTCTTCTCCCAGCCAGACAAGCTGTACTGACCTTGTCCTCACCTCATGGGCTTCACCTTCTGCCATATCTTGGAAATATTTAAACCAACCAATCACATCTTACTGTGAGAATCAGGTGGGCTCCTGGTTGTCTGAGCTGGAGGAGACCGATCCTGCAAACTTAGAAAAAAATCTTTCTGTGATCTGAGCACTCTAATTTTGGAACTGCAAACCAGGAACTGTGCACCGTTAGGCGAATGTTATCCAGGTGTGCAAGAGATGATAAGAGGGACTGTAACTACTTCAGTAACGTGTTGGAAAGATAAGCCTGAGGCCATTCAATGAATTACAAGCAACAGAATTTTAAGCAATTTTTGGTTATTGGGAACCATGTTGGGTAAGAGGGTATTATGGCTCTTTGTCTCTTCTTGAGGATACTCAGCATCTTAACTATGGAAATGTCTGGAAAAGTCTCTACTTAAGGAGTCTATCAATTTCCCCAGCTTCCTCTAAAGCAAGGGCATGGCCAGAAGACCAATCAGATATTTCCCTGTAGGGATTTAAGTAATGAACAACATGTTGATGCAAAACATACAAAGCAGATCCCCCTCTTTCTGATGGCCAGGAAATGAAGGTGGGTAGAAGGGATGGGGCAAGGGCAAGCAAAATAACGGTCCCAATGAGGTTCATGTCCTCAAACCTGGAACCTGTGGATATGTCAATTTATAGAGCAAAAAGACTTTTTGATTTGGGGTTTTTTGTTTTGTTTTTGAGATAAAATCTTATTCAGGCTGGCCTTGAATTTACTATGCAGTCCAGGCTGGCCTCAAACTCTTATCAGTCCCCCTGCCTCAGCCTCCCAAGTTCTGGGATCACAGGTATGTGCCATCAACCTAGCAAGTTAATGATATTGAGATAGGAGAGTATGCTGGATTATTTGGTTGGACCCGCTGTCATTGCAACGGTGTGTGAAACAGTGAGGAAATGGAAAAGAAAGGGTTTCTGTGGAAGGAGAGAGATTTAATGCCAATGGCCTTTAGAAGTTGGAAAAGGTGAAAAATAAACTCCTCCAGAGTCTCCAGAAGGAACCATTCCTGAAGACACCTCGGTTCTAGTCCAGTCAGATTTTTGATCTATAGAACTATAAAATAAATCTGGTGGACATGGTGGTACATGCCTGTAATCCCAGAATTCTGAGAGGTTGTGGCAGGAAGATCACAAGTTTGAGCCCAACCTGTGAGCAATTTAGCAAGACTCTGTCTCAAAATTTAAAAATAAATTTTAAAGGACTGGGCATGTGGTTCAGTCTGAAGGCTACAGGTTCAATCTCTAGTAAAACAGATAGAGATAGAAATAGAGATCGAGATAGAAAGAGACAAAGACAGAGAGAGAGAGAGAGACAGAGAGAGACAGAGAGAGACAGAGACTATAACTCTGATTTGTTTTGAGCCAATAAATTTATGGTAATTTGTTACACCAAGAACTAAGATGGAGCTCAGGGGGTCTAGGTTCTCGGTGCTGTCTGTGAAGTACCTATCCCAGATTCTCCAGTTCTCCTAGTAACAACTCTAGCTACTCAACTTTTCTCAGTAAATTTCTTTTCAGAAGAATTGGTTTTTGTTTTGTTTTGTTTTGTTTTATACTGGGGATCAAACTCATGACCTCGTACTTGCCAAGCAGGTGCTTGTGCTGCTAAGCTAAACCCCCGGCCCCAAAGAATTGGTTTTTATTGCTTATGACTATGAATTCCTTCAGGTATGGTGGTGAAGGGGCACACCTGGCCCTGGGCTACACTCAACCTGGGCCACAGAACATTGAGAAGAAACTGGTTGTTCCAAACAAGCCTTGCTTGGAGTTCCCAACTCAGTGCTTTCCTGACACTCTGGAGCAGGCAGGAGGATTAATTTACATTCATTGAGATTGCAATTGAGATCCCAGGAAGTCAGAGATACCACAAATGAGGAATACATGCAAAACAGCCTGACAATGAGCAGAAACATCTCATGAAGGGATCATGTAGGCTTCACACTCTAAGATTATAGGATCAAAAGGCCCAAGGTTTTTGAAATTCAGCCCTTATTGCTATGTACCCCAGATGACAGACATAGTTATAAGATTTAAAAAGTTTATCTTGCTGAGTTTCAGTCTTGCTTTTGCCCAATTTTTTTTCTAGTCCCTCATCCTTACTTTTGGAAAGGAAATGTTTATTCTGTGTCATTACAGAGTATGTAAAATTTTTTTGCAAGACTGTGTTCCTTATACATGAGGCAAGTATTCTACCAGTGAACTAAAATCTTAACACTTTTTTTAACAAAAATTTTTACAGAGGCTCACATAGTTTGTCTTGATTCTCAGAGAAGATTTAGGGTTTAGATTCTTTTTGTGGGGGCGTACTGGGAATTGAACTCATGATTTTGTACTTGCTAGGCAGGTGTTTATGCCACTGAGCCATATCCCCAGCTCCCTAGGGGCTTAAACTTTTGAACTGTACTGGGACTGTTAAGGCTTTGGTGATTCAAGAGAAATAAAAAAACAAAAAGACTTTGGTGACTCTCAGAGATGAACTAGTGCATTTTGCAAAATGAGGTAGTCATGAGACTTTTGGAGGCCAGAATTGAAGCATCATGGTTTAGATTTCAAATGTTCCCCAAAAGTTGGAGGTGTCAAAGGGTTGGGTTTTGAGAGGTCATTGGATAATGAAGACTTTAACTTCATCTGTGGATTAATCTATGCAGGAGATAACTTGATGAAGGAGATAACTTGATGGCTTTATTGGGAGGTAATGGAAACTTAGGAGGTTGGGCCTAGTTGAAGAGAGTGGGTCATAGGAACACGATCTTAGGATCTAATTTGATCCCTGACCCTTCCTCTTGGACTTTTTCCCCTTCTCTATGATTCCTAGCAGCCAAGAGGTTGGCAGTTTTCCTTCTCATGTTCTTCCACCCTGATGTTCCTGCATTGCCACAAGCCTAATAGCTACGGAATCAGCTAACCATGGACTGAAGTCTCAGAAACTGTGAGACACAATAAATCTTTTTGATAGAACTGTGGGGGAGGACCAGCGGTGGCTGAAAAGATAGGAAGTATGAAATATAAATGACCTTTATTTTGAGAATGCAGGGAGAGACAACCCAATCCCCTGGGGCGTGGCAGCTCCACCTCGGTCTGCTATCTCTCAGTAGAACACGTGGAGTGAGGCACATAAGTAGCCTTGGTTTGGGGTGGAACCTAAGGGGGGCATTAGGGATGCACAGGTAGCCCATTGGTCCTAGGTTTGGCGCCATAGGTAAATTCCCAGGGGCGGGAAGATGGCGTCACAGGTTAAATTCCTAGGGGCGGGGGAGATAGGAGCTTCCTGGTTCCTGTTGAGGCTTTCCTGGCTACAGAGTCCTGTCTGGGCCAAAACCCTTTCACTTTTATCCTGTAAGTTGTGTATATCAGGTATTTCTTAATAATGACAAAAATCTGACTAACACAGCAGGCTAAAAGCTTTCTGCTCATTATCTCAAATTGTTCTACTTGGAGTTCATTCAGATCTTGAATGTGTAGATTAATGTATTTTTAAAAATAAATTTGGAAGGTTTTCAGGATTTTTTTGTATATTTTTCTGTTCTTCTTTATTCTTCCTTTCTTTCAAGTACTCCCATTATGCATGTGGTGGTATATTCAAAGATTTCCAGTTTCTCTGAGGCTCCATTTTGCTTTGCATTTGCAGTAGTGAGGTGGGGGTGCTTGAACTCAGGGTCTCAAGCTTGCTTGGCAAGCACTCTACCACTGAGCCACACTTGCAGCCTCTCTCTGGAGCTGTTAATTCTTTTTTTTTCTTTTTTTTTTTTTTTGGTCTTTTTCTTTTTTATCAGTACCAGGGATCGAACTCACAACTGCCTGCTTGCAAGGCAGGTGCTTATGCCGCTGAGCTAAATCTCCAGCCCCGGCTACTAATTCTAATTCATTCTATTTTCTTTCTGCTCTTTGGTTTGCATAATCCCTATCAATCTAGCGTCAATTCTGCCAATTCTTTCTTCTACCACTCCAAATACGTTTGTTTTATAAATAAGGAAATGAGAAATAGGAAATTTAAGCAATTTAGTAAGGATCACACATTGCAAATAAGTGACAGGGCCAGAGCTGGGCACAGTGGCACATGGCTGCAATCCCAACTACTCAGGAAGCTAATGCAGAAAGATTAAAGTTCAAGGCCAGCTAAGCAACAGAGAAAGATCTTTTTTAAAAAAACTGGTAGGTAGCTGGGAATATAGCTCAGTGGTACAAGAATCTGCCTGGCAAGTGTGGAGGTCATGAGTTCATGATCCCAGTACTGAAGAAAAAAAAACAAAGATGGTAGGAACACAACTTGAAACCAAGATCTCAGGTCTTACCCTTTCAATCAATTATGCAGTAATTTGCTTACTATATAAATATGTACTGAATGTTGACTATATGTCAGACTTTTAGGGGCTAGAGAAAATCTAACAAAATTTTTACCCTCATGAAAGAAAAACAAAATTTTGTTTTGATCTGGGTATGGTGGGTGCATGCCTATAATCCTAGCACTGGGGAGGCTGAAAAAGGAGGCTCACTGTGAGTTCAAGG